CGCCAAGTTGTACGACGAGGAGATGGCGGCGTGCGCGGCCGCTTACCCCGACCAGTTCCGCCTCGACTACGCGCTGTCGCGCGAGCAGCAGGTGGGGGGGCTGGGGTGGGTGGGTGGCTGGTGGGGGGAGCATGGGGAGGGGCGGCTGGGGCCTGTGGTTGGAGGCTGGGAGGGGGAAGCGGTCTTTGCTGGGGCTGGAGGTGGTGCTGCTGCTGGATGGGCCGCTTTGTTGATAAATGCTTCGTTAGGGGCTGGGTTTGCCATGGCGCCTGTGGTGGCGTGGGTGGCGTCTTGGGCTGCGTGTGGGGGCCGCAGGCTTTGCGGGTGTGGTTCCGGAGCGCTGGCTGCCGCGGGCGACAGCGGGGACCGACGCGGCGCGCGGCGGCGGCGGCTGCCGCTCTTTGCTGACGCCCTTTCAACCTGCATTCAATTCTACCCTTCCTGTGCAGAACGTCCGTGGTGGCAAGATGTACATCCAGGACAAGGTGGGTCTGGGGAACCAATTGGAAAACAATCGAGGAAACGCACCTGGCGGGTGGCCGGCGGGGGCGGGCGGCGGCGCACCGCGCACAGGCGGCGACGCGCCGCGCACAGAAAGCAGAACAAACACATTTTTTGTATTTTCCTTGGCTCCCCACAAGCACCAATCCCTAATACTGCCTCTCAATGCCTGACTGCAGGTGGAGGAGTACTCTGATGAGGTGTGTGGGGCCGTCTGGAGCGCGGGCATGCGGCGCCAAGGTGGCGCAAGGTGGCGCCGCCGCTTCGCCCCCTTTTTCCTCTGCCCGCCCACTTTATTTTTCGCCCTGCAGGTGTTCGATCTGCTGAACAACGGAGCACATATCTATTTCTGCGGCCTCAAGGGTATGATGCCAGGTGGGTCGAACGCGCCGGGATCGCCATTGGTGACCGGATGCCGCGAAATGTTGCCTTTTTCGACACCTGGGCGGCCCAGGAGCCCCGTTTTCGTGCTGCTGGCTCTTTTCGTGCCTGCCAGCCCTGTCTGAGGAGTGCCCTGCACCCTAGGGCTCGCCCTTGCTTGACAGCCACCGGCTCACACGAGCTGGCATGTGCGGCGGGAAGCGGGCAGCCGCGCGCCTCTGCGTTGCGGTGCTGTGAGGGCCTGATTGGGCTGGCTGGCCTGCCTTGCCCTGGCGTGCTGCAGGCATCCTGGAGATGCTTGAGCGCGTGGCCACCGGCAAGGGCCTGAACTACGCAGAGGTGAGGCGGGCGCTTGTATTTGTGGCTAGGGGCGTATGTGCCAGCATGGCTGCTCCCAGGAAAGCGGGTCGGCCGCTGATCTCCCTGTGGCCTGCGCTGCAGTGGTTCGAGGGCCTCAAGCACAAGAACCAGGTGCACGTGGAGGTGTACTAGGCTCGACCATCGCAATTTTGGCGCCTCCCCGGCCGCCGCACGAGTCGCGGCGTCCGCCGCCGTCCCCACCACCCACCAGCGTCACATTGCCGTATTCTTCCGCTGCTCTGCTCCCTCTCCTCCCAGCACCTTTCCAGGCCCGCTAACGCACAGATTTAATGTAAATGCTTAGTTCAGCAGAGAGAGGGATCGACTGTGCGAAGGGCGCCGCCCGCTTTCAACATGGATGATGTGGCGCCGCCAAGCGGGCGGTGCTTTGGTACTGATGAGCTCATGCCTCACGATATGCGCAGCGTGTTTTCGCGCACCGTAACGAAAACAACCCCGCATTGCACCACATTCATTCAGAGCCAGAACCGCGCGTCGAACGGCTACATGCGGCTCCTCCAACTCCTCACCCTGGTCTGGGCTGCGCGACTTGCGGCGGGCGACGACGGGTGGGGCTCCATGCAGCGCGTGGCCGGCTCGGGGGATCGCCGCAGGCCCGTCGACAGGGCAGGGGCTGCCGCCGCGTTGTGCCTGGAGGGAGCGCCGGCACCGCTGGCCGCGATGCCTCAATCACTCTCTCCCACCACCGGCGCGCCCCTCCCCCGCCTGCAGGTGCCCCGTGATGGACGAGCTGTGGGCGAAGGCGGCGGCGCGGGCGGGGCTGACGCTGGACGAGGCGCTCAGCATCGACGACGCCGACCCTCCGCTGTACGACCAGCTGGGCGAGGCCGCCATCAAGCAGTTCTCCACCCACTTCTACGCTCGAGTGTACCAGGACGAGTGGGACGAGTTCAGGTGAGCTGGGGAGGAGGGGAGGGTGGGGGAGGCTGTGGCCAGCACCCGCCCCACGCCTGATCCCAATGCCCTCCACGAGCTCTGCCAGCCCTGCGGCCAGCGCCGCACTCCCTGCCTGATCAGCTCCTGTTGCCTGCCTCCGCCCAGGGACCTGTTCAAGGACCGCCCCATCGAGCAGTCCGTCCAGAACCAGTTCGAGTTCCTGGTGCAGCGCCTGGGCGGGCCGCCGGTCTACAGCGAGCGCAAGGGTGGGTGGGGCGGCGGCCAGCTGGGAGACAGCATGCATGCGGTGGGGGTGGCTGGGTGGGCAATGCATGCAGGTGTCCAGGTGCCTGCTGCCAGCGGGTGGGCTGCACACCCAGCTCGCCTCAGCCAGCCTGCGCCCGGTGCAGAGGCGCATGCCCACTCCCTCCCTGCCGCCGCCCACCCCCCCGCTCCATGCAGGCCCCCCGCGGCTGATGTGGCGCCACGCCGGCTTCCCCTGCACCAACCAGACCGCCGCCCGCTGGCTGCTGCACGCCGGCGAGGCGCTGGACGCGGCGCCCGCCATCGCCGCCGACCCCCGCCTCCGCCTCGCGCGCTTCTTCACGTTCATGGCCAACCTGCTGGTGGTGCACCAGGAGAGCAGGGAGGCCTGCGGCATGGGGCGCGGCGGCGGCGGCGGCGGCTCGTGGTGGGCTGAGGCAGGCATGGGCCCCGGCATGGGCCGCGGGGCTGGCCGTGGCCTGCGGGGCGGCTCCGGCGGGATGGGGCATGGTGGAATGGGGCGTGGCGCTGGCGGGGGCCGCTGGGGAGGCTGGGGCGCGGGCGGCGGCTGCCCGATGGCCCGCCTGGCCAGCATGCGCCGTGGCGCCCAGCGTGGTGCCGGCGGGGGCGACTCCGATGCCCAGCGCGGCACGAGCCGCCCCGCTCAAAACTCTCTGCTGCCGGAACAGGAGACTGGCGACAAGGCCGATGCTTGAAACAAAACTGTGTCCTCTACAGCTGTACTGCAGCCCCACGAGCCATGCCTTGGTTGCACTCTCCCCACTTCACTCCTTTGATGGCATCCTGGCGTGTGCACGCTTGTGTGTGCTCCCACCTTGTAACTTTTTGTGCTGGCGGTGCGCCGCTGCCTCACACCGACATCAAGGCTGCCTCCAACTCCCACAGCAAATGAGGCAAACGAGTTGTGCCGCCGCGAGTGCTGCGTCCTCGTCGTCATTGCTGCCGCCGGCTCACACTCCCTTTGCCTGCACCAGCTGGCGCAATGTGCCAGATAGCTGTCGGCTGGCTGCATGGGGTTGCGAGGCACGTTGCCCTCACCACCCAGCATTTGAAATGGTCAGGTGGCTGCCACGTCAGCACACAGCATGACCTTTGCACGGTGGCAACTTGCTTGAAGCCACCCCTCCCACCTCTACTGGGACCTCAACAAGCGGCAGCATCACACATGGCGCAATCAGACAAGTCAGACGAGTCAGAAAGTCAGGAAACATCAGTCCTCATCCTCCCAGCCAGCCTGTCGCCTCGTCCAGCAGGCGCTCAAGCTGGCCGGCGGCCTTCACGGCCCGGTCCGCCGCATCCCGCGGCTCCCGCCCCGCCAGCGCCGCCTCATCCATCCAAACCATAAACAACTGCAGTCCCGGTGGCGGCGCTGCTTGCAGCCGACAGAGCCGCCACCGGGTCCTGCAGGCTCAGCTCCAAGCTCTCTGTCGTGAAGGCCCAGTGCTCCACGGCGACCTCCAGGCGCTCCACATGCTAGGCCGCCCCGGGAGCGGCCAGCATGTCCTCCATCGCGTCGGGGAGCTGCGTGAGCAGCAGGTGCCTGATGGCCAGCGCCCGCTCCCGCTGCTCCTCCATCTCCTGCTGCGCCTGCCGCACCCGCGCCTGCACCTCTGGCGGCGCCCCCCAGCGCGCTGCCTCCTCGCCCACCGCCTCGCCGTCCTCCACGGCGGCAGGCAGCCAGCTGTCCCAGAAGTCGGCAGCGGCATCGGCCGCCGCCTGCCGCGCCTCCTCGGCTGCCGCCGCTTCGGCCGCCTGCTGCGGGGCGCCGCCCTCTGCCGCCTGCTGCTGCTGGGCTGCCGCCCCCTCCCCCATGATGTCTGTAGCCTCCAGCAGGTCCAGGGCCAGCTGCACCAGCACCCCCTAATCCGCATCCTCGGGGATGAGCTGCAGCCGCGCCGCCGCCGCCGCCGCCGAGTCCTCCCTCATCCTCTCCACCGCGGTCGGCGCCACCTCCTCGGCAAACTGGCGGGTGAGGAGGACGCTGCGCCTGCGGTGGGCCCGGCCGGAGAACACGCCCGACGGCAGGTTAGGGAAGGAGCCGTCGCCGCAGGCGCCTCCTGCCAGGATTTGGGAGGGCCTGGTGGGGTGCTTATCTGCAGTGGCGCAGGGTGGCAGGGGGCAGGTCAGGGTGGCAGGGGAGCAGGTCAGGGTCAGGTCAGGGCAGGGCAGGACAGCACAAGGCGGTGAGTGCAGGGCAGTACACGCGGTACCTGCATGGAAGCGAGCGGCGGCGCCCAGGTAGATGATCAGCAGCAGCACGAGCTGCAGGTACACGTCGGCCGCCTGCCCCTCCGTCTCAAACCCCTCGCCCGGGTGGTGCCGCATGTGGCAGGCGCCGCGCAGGGCCTGGCGGTCCCCATGCTGCCCCAGGTGGGCGGCTGAGTGCTGCCTGGCCTCCTCCTCGATGTGCCGCCCCGCGTGCGGGCAGGGGAGGGGCGGCGGCGGAGAGAGGTGAGTGGGTGGTATAGCGCGCGGGGGTGATGCAGGCAGGCAGGGGCAGGCAGGCAAGCACGCGACTGCCACACCCACAGGCAGCACCGGCAGCCGCTGCCCCGGGCCCCCCCGCCGCCACACCCCAGCAGCCGCTCACCGCTGGCTTCTCCTGCATCTCCGCGCCGGTGTACACATTCCGCCAGGCCGTCTGCCCGTCCACAGCCCGGCGCTGCACGCAAGCGCAGCCGCCGCAGCCACGCTCGGCGTTTTCCGGCCTGCGGGCGCCAGGGGAGGGGAGAGAGGGAGTGAGAAAAGGTGGACGAGGGAGGAGAGGGAGAGCGGGACTGGGTGGTGCCAGCAGGGCTGACACGCTGGCTGGGGTGGCTGGCTGGGGTGGCATCTTTGCAGCAGGGCGGTGCGGGGTTGGAGCAGGCAGGCATTGCATTCTGCTGGCGCCGCCGGCAGGGCAGCAGCGCCACGGCTGGCTGGGGCTGCCTGGGGCTGGCTGGCTGCCACCACCACCACCGCACCCTCCACCACGCACCCCCAGCACCAGCTCACCCGCGCACCACCCGCAAGTTGTGGGCGCAGAGCACGTAGTCCATGCCGCCCTCCCCCAGCGCCAGCACGTCGGTGTGGGCGATGGGCCAGACGTGGTCCAGGTGGCCGCAGCGCCAGTGCTCCAGCCCCAGAGCCGCCGCCTCCGCATCCAGCATCTGGCACAGCTCGCCGTGGGTGTGGCCGCGCAGCAGGTGCCGGGGCGACGGCGGCACCGGCAGCTCCGCCAGCAGCCCGCGGCGCAGCATGCCGACCACCGTCAGCATGCGTTCGTAAGCGTGCGCGTTGCGGCCGGCCAGCACCTGCGGCGGGGAGCGCCGCTCGCGCGGCACGTTCTCCGCCGCGGCGGCCAGGACGGCTGCCTCGGTGCGGGGCGGTGCTGCTGCTGCCGCCGCCTCGCCCTGCTCGGCGGCGGCGGCGGGTGGTGCGTGCCCGCCAGGCAGCGCCAGGCAGGCCAGTAGGCGGGGCCAAAAGCGCGGAGGTGGTCGTGGTGCCGCCGCGCCTGCTGCTGCGGGGTCTGCTGCTGCTGCGGCGGCGGCGGCGGCGGCGGCGGCTGGGCCGCCTGCGGGCGGTGCGCCTGCGGTGGCGGGGCCTGCTGCGCCTGCTGCCGTCCCTCCTGCTGCCAAGCCAGGCGCGCGGGCGCCAGCAGCCTCCACTGCCCCCGCACGTGGCGCTGCACGCGGCGCAGCTGCTCGGGCGCCGCCGCCGGCAGCTCCTGGGTCACCAGGCGGCTGATGGAGGCGGGGCTGGCGGTGAGGATGAAGTGGTGGGCTGCTGCCTGCACCTCGGCGGGGAACGCGGCCCATTTCTGCAGCAGGTGGAGGAGGGCAAGGGTGCGCTGCGTGTGTGCTGCGTGTTGTGGGTGGGTGTGAGGCCAAGGGCTGGTGGGAAGCAGGCATGCAAGCATGGGTGCCGTCGGGCTGGCGGCAACAAGGGTCGGCGGCGGCACTTACGAAGGTGCTGGCGTGAAGGTGCTGGCGTCGAATCTGCATCTTCCAGGCGTTCGTTTTGTTCAGGTTGGTCTCCATCGACACGCCGAGGAAGAGGCTGGCCTGGCCATCCCTGTTGTATGAGCTGACCAGCTCCCGTGCCACCGCCTTGCCCGCCGCCGCCGCCGCCCCCCGGTGCCGGAACTCCCCGAGCTCCTGGACCGTGTGCTGGGCTGCCATGCAGCGAGAGAGAGCGGCCGCGGGGTCAGGCCGAGGCAGGGAGGCAAGGGGGCTGGGATGGCGGAGGGGGCGGGGCTGTGGCTGCGGCTGGGTGTGCCTTGGAGCCTCCTTGGAGCGACCTTGGAGCCTGTTTGGGCGCGTCTGAGCCTCAGGAGAAGTGCGTGCTGCGCCACGTGGCCAGCGGACCCCCCAAAAGATCGGAGGGAAATCGGTTCACAATGCTCAGCAGTCTGTCACACAGAAAAACTGCGCCGGCGAAGCCCTTGTAATGCGGTGCCTTACCTGCTACCGAGCGCCAGCGCTGGTGGGTCACGCCACACTCACCCCACAACAAAAACAACAAACCACTAAAAAGCAGCAATGCGCAAGCGCCCAAGCCAGAGTAGTGCAAGTCACGACGCATAGTTACGACGCATTTGTTTGTTGTAATTGAAAATTTTTGCCATCCAATTTTCAGATTCGTGCGCCCCCGGGAGATCCAACTGTGAATATTGGATGATGATGTGGATGTGGGATGATTAGATGGTATGGTAGATGGTGGATGGGGTGCCGAGGGGCGCGTACGCCACAACAGCCTTTAATAAACTAAACTCCTGGCCGCCCGAAGACAGCCAACCGGACGGGTCTGGCGAAGTGCAAGGCCGAGACCGCAGCCCGACGGTGGAAGGCCTGCTTGATCGCCTTCACACCCGAGTCAGGTAAGTATGATTGTTATGGTCGGGAGGGGCCAGTGGCCCGGGTGACAGGCGGCTACTGAACAGCACGCTTATGGGGCTCCCCGGTTGGAAGGACATCCGCCCTTCGCCTGTGCTGGTCTTTTTAGCGACTTGTGCGTGTTGGAGGCCTGCACGGCCCCTCAAGATTTCCTCTCCCCTGGCGCATCACCATGTGCGGCACCCATGCATGGCCCCACTCATTGCCGCTTTGCAGCGGAGGTCTCCCAAAACGGGTGGCCCCTCTTATCCATGTCTGACGCAAACAACGCGCGAAGCGGGCTAGGGGTACAGGCACGCTGGGCCGGCTGGCGCCGCTTCCCGCCCAGGCGACTGGGGTGCAGCAAACAGCCCATATGGAGCAGCGGGCGAGATCTCCTGGCCCGACACAGGTGCTGTGCCTCTGCTGCATGCCGCTCGGGGCTGCAGGCCGCTGCGCAAACCCAGCAGCAGTCATCCCACACTCACCGCCCCCGCTGCGCTGGGTGGGCACCCGCCAGCCGCCGCCATCAGGTGAACCAGCACAATCCGTACCCTCTGCCAGCAAGCGCGGGCCTGCCACCGCTGCCGCCGCAGCCAGGATCACCCTGCGCTGCCTGGTGCCCCGTTGCCGCTGCTGGCACACCGGCCGCTGGCGCTACAGCGTGCGTCCCCACGTGGCCGCGCAACACCGACGAAAAGGAAGCCAGCGCAGCGCCGGCACTTGGGCTTGTGCGCCTTCTTATGGGCGTGGCTGCAGGCCTCGCTGCAGTGCCCGCACCTGCAGACAGGAGGCACGCAGGCCAGCAGACAGAAGGATGAGTCAGGGCAGGCCGGCTGCGACACAGCGTGGGGGCCGCTGCAGCGCTGCGCCACTCTGGCGTTGCAGCTGAGGAGAGGCCTCACCTGGCAGAGGGGCGCAGGGCGGGGCTGGTGGCCCCTCGTCCCCCAACGCCTCCTTTCCCCTACTCCAGCTCGGCTGCTACTCGTCTCGATGCAGCCTGTCCCCCTTACCACAGCACACCGCGGAAGGAAACAACCCTTGCCCAGGCTCTCAGCACCGCTCTCCCTTTCGTTGTATTTACTATTTACAATGCAAGCTGCAGCTCCACTTGCGAGTTCAACAGGGGCTGCTGGAAAGGCCATGGACTGGCACGCCACACCCACTACCCGCTGCTGCCCATTTGTCAGCGGCCGTGTGCGCCCGGGTGAGCAGCCGGCCGCGCTGGGCCAGCCAGCAGGGCCGGCGTCTCTCTCCAGCCTCAAGTGACGGGCAGCTTCACGGTGGCCGACAGCACGTGGCCGTGGCGCTTCTCCACGCGCCTGCAGTACAGCATGTACAGCATGATGCCGGTGGCCAGGCAGCGCCCGCAGCGCCGTGGAGCAGAGCGGAGCAGACGCGTCAGGGACAGCGCGGGGCAAAGCGGGGCAAGGGGGGGGGGGGGGGGGGGGGGGAAAAAAAAAAAAAACCCCCCCCCCCCCCTGTAAAAAGGAAAAACCCCGGGGGGGGGGCCCCCGG